CTGGCGCAACAGGGGAGGGCGCTCTTCAGCGTGTCCTTAAAGGCCTCGCGGAAGTCGCGGTTGAAGTACGCGTAAATAAGCGGGTTCAGGGCGCTGTTGAAGTAACCTATCCAGAATAGGACGGACACCACCGTGTCTGGACAGTAGCAGGCCTCGCCGCACAAGGACGTGGTTAGATACCTGGAAAAGAAACAGGATTGATGGATTTTAGGAGCATGGTAAAATTAAAACTTTCTTTTCTTTTCTTCTTCTTCTTCTTCTTTTTCTTCTTCTTCTGTGAAATATTTATCTCATTGCATCAAATGTTTACAGGAAATTAATTCAATATGGATGATGCGAATTAGATGCGAGGATGAAGGATTTAGGATTTTTTATTCTATATGCAGATAATACATTTGCAAGAAATGTGAAAGATGAAAGGAAGAATTGTTTTTAAATATTTAAATTTCCTTTTTTCGAGTGTGAGTATGAGTTTAATATATTGGCATAATATTTTGTAATTGATTCTTCTAATTGTAATTGATTCTAAATTCTTCTTTCTAAATTTAATAAGTTTAATAATTCGCGATCCTATATATCTATCAAAATTGATCAAAAAAGAAAAAGAGAAGAGATATAACACTTTTCATCTAGAAATTGCCATTCTCGAAGCACTTCATTTTCTATTATTTTCGTCTTTGATCGGAGACAATATTATTTTTTATATTTTTTCGTTGGCATATCATATTTCGTATCGAATTTTCACGATATGAAAGACAATCTTTTAAATTCATTTCGAGAGATGCGCCATGAGCCAGAAATGGAAACTGATTCGAAGGAACGTTGCGGTCACGTTCTGCCATTTTAATTAAAAAATTGTCCACAAACTCGAAACTTGCTCTGACGGTATAAATGAGAATTCATCGCTCCGGTAAAAAGTTCTCTGATGTTCTCGCGGATGTTCGGATTAGAATGGATTCGCTTCTTCGCGTAGGTTAATGTTTTGAAAATTGACAAACAAAACGAGATTTATTCTTTTACTTCCTCGTTTTATTTATAGAAATATTTTTATAAAGATATCAAAGATGTTAACTTCATAATTATATATTTTTTTTAAATATTATCTTTATCTTGCGTTACAAATTTATTCATAGATTATTTTTTATCTTACGTTTACTTCTTTTATGTTATTTCTGAACTGAAAAATAATAATTGTAGTTGAAGTAAATGGTGATTCGAAATCGTTATTTTTCTTTTAAGCAACATTTATTCGAATTTGTGGTTTACGTTATTAAGAGATTGTAATTTCGCGAAGATTGGAAATTTTAAACAATTTTTCATCAAGTACAAAACAACATTTAATTAGTATTTTAAAGAAAAGATAAAGATAGAATTAGTTTTATAAAAGAATATTTTTGCATCAAGGATTTAATTTTTTCATGACTAATGACAGAACATCACCGCAAGTAAATTTCATTCTGTCATTATTTCCAAATTTATTAATTTAATATTTGTTTGGAAATAAGAGAAAAATAAAGACTTTGTTGCTATATTAAGTTCGTATAACATTTTAATATTTAATATTTATAAATGAAAATCGTTGGTCGCGTTGAATTTACAGTTGAAATAAACTTGGAAGTACGAATTGGAGCCAAATGACTTCAGAAACAAAATTATTACCGTATTACGTTACTCAGCTTCTTGCTCCATCTTTAAGATTGATTACAGTTTGATGATAGTTCCATTCATCTCGAAAATAAATTCACGAAACTTTGAATGTAATTCTTCATTGTTTATTAAGATGAGAGTAACGCGGATCATCCTTATCGTGAGAAAGTTTCTCGATAGTTTGTACAGATTCTATTCGTTTTTATAATATATCGTATCGATGCGAATATAATAAATAGCGAGTGCGGCCAAGTTGGTCGATTACGATGATCGAGTACAACTTTTGCTTCTTGTTCAAGATTTTCTTTTCGTTTATCGAGTAGAAGAGATTAATCTTACTGCCGAGTTTCTTGCGAACTTTAAGTTTTCGTCTGCTTTATAAACTGTAATTTAACAAACGTGTAATAAGAAATCAAATTTCTTCCAAGTTTGTTCCATTCGAAAAGAATTATTTTTTAAACAAAGTTAAAACAACAAAGTTATTAAATGTTATTAAATGTTAGTAGAAGATTGAGAACGGTATAAAAGAACTTTGTTCTTCTTCTCTTATTGTACTATACGTATTTAGATGTATAGATTATTCGTTAAATGTCACAAATATAAAAGAAAAGACTTAGACTTATATAATCTACAGTAAATGAAGATCGTTTAAAATTTCAAAAAGAAAAAGAAGGAATAATTAAATGAAATATCAAACAAAAAGAATAATTAAACAATGAGAGACAATGAGCAGTAGACTCTCCTATAAACGAATAAACGAAGCAATGAAGTAATCGAGGAATCGTGAATAATCTTTATTGAGAAATAAACAATTGAACAAATTAAACAATCGTGTATTTTATCCACGATTAAATGAAAGATGAATTAAAAAAAAAAAACAATCGAGTTGTTTCTCTGTAAATTAATAATATAACATTGAAACGTTTAAGGAATTATGAAATATTTCCCGGAAAAAAATAATTAGACCAATGAAATAATTAAAGAGTAAGTACCACTTCCACGAACAAATTTAGTAATTGCGTAAAAGAAGTTCCTTTTCAATGAACAGCATTGAAACAACTGAAAAATTATAAGTCTTGCCTCAAATATTATCTTTATTAACTATCATTTCTAAATTGTTTAAGAACTATCTCGATGATTATTATTCTTATAATTATAATTTTTTTTTTTAGATGTAATTGTCGTTAATTCGCGAAAAGAAAAATACACATTTCACTAAAATCAGAAATTTGTAAGATAATATACACACGTGTAGTATTACATTGTTACGTTTATTTATAATTTTTAATTTGTCGAAATGAATGAAACGATAAGAAATATAAATTCTCAATAGCGAGCAATTTCAGCAAAAATATCGAAGAAAAATAATCGCTATATATAAAATTTTGAAACAATTTATAAGTATGTGACGAACATTATTGTGCATTCGCGGCATATACGGTGATCGCCATAAATCATAAGCTCGTACAGCTCGATTAACTCGGCATGGTATTGGACTCAGGTTTGTGGACCATGGTATATTTCGAAATGTGTCGTCTTTAAAATAAATATTTTCTGCACAATAGTTGGAAATATGGGTATGATTTATTGTTAATAGGCGGTATCTTTTTTTTTATTCAGAATATTACTTCTGAATTATTCCTCGGAGAGTGTGTGAAAAGGACAATTTATATTAACTTGGAATATATATTACGCGAAATATTCGCTTTTAAACAAAAGTTCGAACACACTTTTTGAAATATTATACGTTTGAACAATTTAATTTTCCGTGTGAACTTTTTCTATCGTGATTTTGTAAAAATTTTAAAAGTATTAAAAATTTAGAGTTTTTTTTTTTATTAAAGAATGCGTTTAGGTGTTTTAAAATTCTTTAAGATGTTATATGATAGATATATTAATTTTTATATTTAAAATATCAAAGACTGTATTATCCTGTATTTAGTTGTACGTTCAAGTAATTTTATGGTTCGTTCAAAAGAAATTTATAAAAACAAAATTCGATCAAAGTTTTCATGTTCGTATTACTTTTAAAACGAAACTTGCAAACAGTGTTTTGGATCGAGAGAATATTCTGCAATATATATTTACATTATTTATTCAACGTGTTCGACAAGACGTAGTTCAAAGTGGAAAATTTTACCAACCACTTATTTCTAAAAATTTTATCCTCTTTAAAAGAATTTAAAATTTACGTAGAGGAAAATTTCTTCTCGTGACTTTTCTCTAAGAAAATGGGATTAATTATTAAAAAGAGGATTCACGATAAATCGAAATTTCACAGGACGAAATGCATAATGTACGGTGAAAACGCGTGACAACGTGCATCTATTATGGAGAATTTTGAAATATTCAGGATCGATGGTTTCCTCGTTATTCCCATCGCTAAGAAAGGATATTTCTTGGGGAAAACGGTGCAATCGCATCGCTTAGTCAAGCAAATAGTTAGATTCGACGCGAGGAGATGGGTAAAACTCGCGATAAACTTGATACACGCGGTTCGGGTTTGCATTAATAATACATGCGGTTGGCTCGACTTTCGCGAGTATTCACCGACTCTGGAAACTTGTTCGTCGATGAAACGAAAGCTCGGTGAACAGCTTGCATCTGGCAAAACTCGTTCGTACGCGAATCCAGGATTTTTCTGTCTTGCTCTTATGACGGGATCCTAGCGAAAGGGTGGAAGTAAGCAGAATATTATGGAAATATTTGTGTGTAGAATAAATTTTCTACGAAAGAGAAATAATATAATTCGTACAGTTATAATAAATCTTTTTCTTTTTCTTTTTTGGTCGAAATTAAAAAAATAAAAAGATAATTATATACAAATGAATCGATCGAGATGCATTGTATGGATTATTCGTGATCATATATTTTTCTCAATATTTTGTTCTATTTTTTTTAACTTCTTGGTACATCTCGAATCTTCCTGTTTAATAAAAAATATTTAATAAAAATAGTAATCGAAAATAATGAACATAAAGGAATAATTGTTGGAATGAAAATTAGAGTCATTATCAAAGTACTGACTCGATGTTGGTGCTTACCAAAGGAAAAATGGCAGCCAACAAAGAAGGAATGCGCCCATTATTATTCCGAGCGTCCTCGCAGCTTTGTGCTCAGCTCTCCAACTCTTCGTTTGTTGTCGTATCGAAGTGCCTGAAAAATCATAAATTTACATTATTAACGACAATGTAATTTACTTTCAAAATTAAAAAACTGAAGATAATTCTCATGTAATACCGCATCTTTTCAAAGTGTTCAAAGCAAAATGTCAGATTCATCGAGCTCATCAATAGTTGTATTATCATGATTAAATAATGTCAAAAAATATACGAAATACGATATAAAATGTAAATATAAAATTCAGAAATTAAAAAAATTTCTGAATTTTAATTCTAAAAGGAAACTTTAATATGGAAAAATTGTGTGGTCAATTTTAATTCAAAAAAGTTGTAATCCTTTTACAAGAGTTTCAAATTTTGATCGAAAAGGTACACGAGGAAAGACGCGTTGTTACATAAAAGATTGTTATTTTTGACATAAAAAACAATGTTAGTGTTTCAAAGACCTTCAATTTCGTTTTAAGATTGCAGAAATATATCGATGATTTCAAAATTTTAGATAGATTTGAGAAAAGACACGCGATGTTATGCGAAACACTGCCAATTTTGACTTTGAAAACTGTGCTATTATTTCAAAAATTTTCAACTTTGTTTTGAGACTGTTTGAGAGATGCATTTATGATTTTGAAACTTTAGTTATTTGAGAAAAGCACGCGAAAGATAACCAATTTTGGCACGAAAAGCTGCAATTCTCAATTCTCAGCTTTGTTTTAAAATTAACAGAATGCATCGGTTTAAAAATTTTAAATAAATTTTATAATTTTATTATTCGTGAAGAATAATATACATTTGAAATAATGTCCATTATTATCCGAGTATTATAATATTCACAGATTAAGAATAAGTGGAAAATAGTAAATTTTCATTTATAAATACATAAATGTAATAATAATATAGCAATCAGTTTCATAGATAGCAAAGCTGATAGTGAATTTTATAACAAAGAAACTAATGAAGTGGAAATTTCCCGTTTTTGTTCAAAAACTTGTTCACTGAAATTTCAAAGTACTCGTTAACCATTGTTCAATATCACAAAATTTTGATATCGTGAATTATTTCAATCTATTTTATTCTCATCGCTGTATATTAATCGGTTCGTAATATTTCATCAAAATATAGAAGTATTAAATATCAAGAAACATTTAATTTTCTCGTTAACAATTGTTTATTAGTTTCTTGTAAGAGAAAAAAATTTTAATTTTCCAGTTAATTTTCAAACATTACATCTAAACAATATATTATAATTAAGTATATATTATAGAAATATTTTATAATTATTCGTTTCCAGTTAAGAAAACATTTGATCAATAAAACGAACAAAAATACTCTGTTATCACGGGAAATTTTCCACGTTTAACCATCAATTTCGTTCTCGTAATATAAATATTCGAGGCAGGCACGATCGTTTTTAACGAGATCTTTTCGTTATCACTCATTGTTCGATTGGAATGAATGTTCACGGGTTTATTAATATCGCGAGAATGGCAATCAATGCAATCGTGTATCACGCACGAATTGCATTGATAAATTATTTCAATTTCATTTTTACTATTTACTATTTCTTTCTCTCTCTCTTTTTAAAAAAGAACGCATTTAAATTTTCTAATGATCTTGAATATTTTTGTATTTATATTTCGAAAATCGATCGTAATAACTTGAATTTCGATTTTAAATTTGATAATGAATAATTTAATGAGACAAAAGAATTTTCTCTTCGAGTTGGTGAGAGTTTGAATGAATTTTAGATGAATTTTTTAAGTAAATCTTAAACTAACATTTCAAAATCTTGGGAAATTGCATTTATAACTAAATTTGAAAATAATAGAACTATTAATATTACAGAATAGAGCGAAGAAGTAATCACTTAATAAATAATTCTATTTTCTTTTTTTTAATTTTATTAACAAT